GTCAGCCTGTAGACAGAGCCCACCCTGACCTCCCTCCCCAGCTTGTCCTATTTAGCCCTTCCTTTCTTTCACCTCTCCTCCTGGCAGGCCGACTCCGGGCCATCAACCCTGAGAATGGCTTCTTTGGAGTGGCCCCTGGCACCTCTGCCACCACCAACCCCAATGCCATGGCCACAATCCAGAGTAACACGCTCTTCACCAACGTGGCTGAGACCAGTGACGGCGGCGTGTACTGGGAGGGCATTGACCAGCCTCTTTCACCTGGCGTCACTGTGACCTCCTGGCTGGGCAAACCCTGGAAACCTGGTATGTGGGGTGGGGTGCCGTGACGAGCCCTGGGGTGGGGTGCTTTACTGATGTGAAAGCCTTCTCCACCAGCTCCAACCAGCTCCTGGGACCTCCGGGAAGCACAGGAAGTTGTGGATGCTGGTGGTTTTCCAGGCCCAGGCAAGACCCGGGCACACGTCATCACTCCACTGCTGACCAGCTGCGTGACCTAGCTAAATGCTTCACCTTCTTAGTCATCAGTTTCCCCCTTAAGTTGAACGAGGGCAATTATTATAGTACCTATCTTATGCAGGAGAATTAAATTAGGCAGTGCACGCAAAGGGCCTAACAGTGCCAAAGGTACACATAAAAACTCAAAAACCAAACTCACTGCCACAGAGTCGGTGCTGACCCACAGCGACCCGACAGCACGCTGTAGAACTGCCTCTCTGAGTTTCCAAGACTGTCACTCTCTATAGGAGTAGAAAGCCCATCTTTCTCCCAAGGAGCGACTGGTGGTTTCGAAGGCTAAGCTTGCAGTTAGCAGCCCAACACACAACCACCAGGGCTCCTGGTTCAATACATGGAAGACAAACAAAAAGCCCCTTGCCGCCAAATCAGTTCCACCTCATAGCAACGCCGGAGGACAGAGTAGAACTGGCCCCACTTAGGGTTTCTGAGACTGTAAAGCTTTACAGAAGTAAATCGCCACACCCTTCTCCCAGGGAGCAGAAAGGGAATTTGGACTGCTGATGTTTCAGTATGCAGCAAACACTTTAACTACTCCGTGAAAGATAAACAAAAGCGTACAGTCAGCGGATTGGTTGTGACCCATGAAATATAAGAAGGAAAGGAAAAACAATAAGAGAAGGGCTGGTTTGAACATTATCATAAAAAGAGTTGGGCTCAAACCACACCCTATTACGTTTGACCTCCTCTGGATAAAGGAAGTCTGCCTCCTACTCTTGTCTCCCCTCCCCGCCCCCACCACCATGCTTTTCTCCACTTGGCTCCTACCATCCCCTGCAGAATCGTCATTGTCCAAAGGTCCATTTAGAGAGAGAAGCCCTACAGGTGCCGTGGTTACCCTTTGGACTGATAACCGCAAGGTCAGAAGTTGAAAACTAGCAACTGCTCCATAGGAGAAACGTGAGGCTTTCAGCTCTTGTAAACAGTTCCAGTCATGGAAACCCAGAGGCAGTTCCACCCTGACCTAGAGGGTCACTGTGAGTCACATCCACTAGATGGCAGTGAGAAAGGGCAATGTCGTTGACCCTGTCCCTAGAGCACACACATCCCCATCTTTTCTCCAAACTAAGTCAGACCAACGCTTTAGCTTTTCCCAGAAGCTAGTCTCAAAACCCTATCATTACCCTGGGGTCCTTGCGGCTCAGTTCCACCCCCAACCCCAAATTCTCTTGGCCTTCAGCTTTGGGTGGCCTTCTGCACAGAGACCTGGGAATGTGAGCTCAGAAGAACGTGGCAAGGAGAGGGGGGGACTTGTGGTCACTGAAGCCTATATTCAAGTGTGCCCATCTGGCCTCACAGTTTCCCTTTTTGTCTAATCCCCCTTCATTTTCTCTAACACCATCATTAAACCCACTCAGCCTTCCCACCCAACTGAGAAATCCAAGAAACTTTCATCTCTCCCCACACGCTAGTCCCCACCCTCTCATCATCTCTAGAGTCAGGGATGTAAGTAGGGTGCTTTGTGCTCAGCTTCCAGAACAATTCCCTCTGCTAGGGTCCTGGATGGAAGGCCAGGGGGGACAGTGAAGGGCAGCTCTTGTCCAAGATGGGGGTCGGAGTTGGGGGGTAAGGAGCAGGAGGGTGCTGACTCGGTGACCTCCCATCATCACCCCTGCCCCAGGTCTGTCCAGCAATGTCCAGTGGGAAAGATTCATTGCCTATTTAGGAGCCCCGTAGGGTAGGGCTCCAGCCGCTCACCAAGTTAGCAAGCCCCTGCTCAAATTAAGCCCCTGTTCGAGTTCTTCAAGCTCTCCCACTCCAACAGGGCCTCAGTGGTGCCAGGAAATCACCCAAATTCTGTTAGCTTTAAAGTCACTGACTGTTGGCATTTGATAGCTCATGGGGTTCTCTCTTCCCCCTGACTGGTGGAAATGCAGTAGTCTAAATATTGGCCTGGCCATCTCAGTTTCTGTGTTAGGTTGGGATGTTTAATTAGACAATAATCCTAACAATAAAGAAATAGTTTCTGGAGGGAAATTCGAGAAATAGACAGACACCAGTATCTAACATCTGAGGCCTGGTCAATGCCAACTGGCTATACATTGGCATAAGCATTAGTTCCTTGATGCACCCCAATGCCCTTCCCACTCTTGTCCTCCATCGCTCAGCTGGCTGCACCTTAGGGGGAAAAGAGCCTGCCTCTCTCCTGGGGAAGAGAGCCTAGCTCCACCTTCCCTAATCCTTACTGCACGAGGAGACAATCAATTGAGCAAGAGCGCGCGTGTGCGTGTGCTTGTGCGTGTGTGTGTGTGTGTGTGTGTGTGTGTGTGTGTGTTGGGGCAGCTGCACCCTCGGAAGAGATCGTCTTTGCATACCCTTTGCCAGGTGACAAGGAACCCTGCGCACATCCCAACTCTCGCTTCTGTGCCCCGGCGCGCCAGTGCCCCATTATGGATCCAGCGTGGGAGGCCCCTGAGGGGGTCCCCATCGACGCCATCATCTTTGGAGGCCGAAGACCCAAGGGTAAACAAGGAGAGCTCTCTGGGCCTCGGCAGGGGGCTGCCTTCTGGTAATGGGTCTGGCTCTAGCTCTAGGCCACTTCTTTCTTGTATGCCAAGCTCAGAGAGCTTCAGCCTGGGTCACCGGCTTCAGCTGTCTGTCTGCGGAGTTTTCTCTTGTTGGATGCCAAATAGGGGGAAGACATAGGCCCAGGGGGGAAAAAAGGAGAGGGGGGTCCTTGGAAAAAATGCAAGGGAGTTGAGATCACCAGAAGGAATGAAGGGGTGCCTCAGACTCTGAGCTTTGATTTTCTAGGGGTGCCCTTGGTTTACGAGGCCTTCCACTGGCGCCACGGGGTGTTTGTGGGCAGCGCCATGCGCTCCGAGTCCACGGCTGCCGCTGAACACAAAGGTGAGCGCCCCCTGCACCTCTCCTGTGTGCGCACATTCCAAATTCTCCTGCAGAGCCAAATCCTCTGCCTGCCCATTCCTGGCTTCTTTCCTGCCCCCACCCTTACCTAGATGTGTCTGTGCCCCTCCAGTTCCTCCTCTTTGCCCTGCCTGCCCATATTTCAGAATCGTCAGCATCTCACATCTCCCTCCAGCTGCATCCCCTCCCCTCCCCAGGAAGGAGGATGATTCCTTAACCCATCCTGCTCCCCTCTCCAGGGAAGGTCATCATGCATGACCCGTTCGCCATGCGGCCCTTTTTTGGCTACAACTTTGGGCACTACCTAGAACACTGGCTGAGCATGGAGGGGCGCAAGGGGGTCCGGTTGCCCCGCATCTTCCATGTCAACTGGTTCCGGCGGGATGAGGCAGGCCGCTTCCTGTGGCCAGGCTTTGGGGAGAATGCTCGTGTGCTGGACTGGATCTGCCGGCGGCTAGAAGGCGAGGACAGTGCCCAAGAGACGCCCATTGGGCTGGTGCCAAAGGAAGGGGCCTTGGATCTCAGCGGCCTGGGAGCCGTGGATACCACCCAGCTGTTCTCACTCCCCAAGGACTTCTGGGAACAGGAAGTTCGTGACATCCGGAGCTACCTGACAGAGCAGGTTAGCCAGGATCTACCCAAGGAGGTGCTGGCGGAGCTGGAGGCCCTGGAGGGACGCGTGCGCAAAATGTGACCAGAGGTGCCAGGCCAAGCGAGCATACCACGTGGGAACAAGGCAGCCACAGGCTTGCCATGATCTGAGCAGCTCTGAGAGAACCCACATCTTATGGGTGGCAGGGGAGCAGGCCTTCCCCTCCCCCCACACTGTCCAGCAATAAGAGATGCTTGTGTATTTTGCGTAACATTTGTGTTGTTTTCATTTCTTGCCTGTCTTCACAGGCTTCCCTCTGCCAGTCCCTGCCGTTTCCCCCAAGCCCACCCGAGGGGCTGCCACTCCACCGGGGCCTAGCCTGGCCTGGTGGTATATCCATGCTCTGTCATGCAGGCAGCTCTACCACTAAGTCACGCACATGGGAATTGCTACAAAGTACTGTCCCCTCTATGTCCTGAGGTCTCAAGTGGGCCAGTGTGACCTTCAGGCCTAAAATTTTGTCTCTCTCACTCAGACACGTGTCCACTTTCTCCCTGGACTGAGGCAGATGCTGCTCCCGCCCCATTCACCATCAAAGCCTGTGTCTGTTTCATGGTTCTCAAACTGTTCTTTCCCCTGCCTTACCTGAAATTGAGCAATGCAAAATATTCCTGAAAATGTATGTATCCCAGGCAGAGTTCTAAGCATATCCGGAAATAACCCCTTTAGGGAGGAAACAAGGGCAGAGATGTCAAGTAGTTTTCCCAAGGCCACACAGTAAGTAAATAAGTACACAGATGCGTCTCTAATAAAAGAATTCCAAACAAAAGAGTTCACTGTCATTGAGTCGCTTCCTATTCACAGTGACTCTGCAGGACAGGGTAGAACTGTTGAAACCGTCACTGTTGATGGGAGCAGCAAGCCCGTGTTTCGCTGACTTAGCAGTTGGCAGCCCACATGTTACTTCGACCCCACCAGGTCTCCGTCACAGAGTGGAAGAATCCCAAGGATCTTAGAAGTCACCTATCCCAGGCATCAAACTAAAGTGCACCTGGATGGCCTGGGCCTCTTGTCAGGATGCAGATTCTCATTCTGCAACTTTGGGACAACCTGGAGACTCTGCTTTTCCTATCAGCATCCGGCTGATGCTGATGCTGCTGAGAAATAAGGGCTTGCTCGACATGTCTCTGAAATCATATTTGGAAGAAAAACTAAAAGAGAGCAGCCAGGCCACATGAATCAGTGGCATCTGCTAAATATGACCTCTCCTGTGATCTGGTAAGTGTGGGATGGCTAGCCGGAAAGTTGACTGTTCAAACCCACCAGCCACTTGGCCAGAAAACAAGGTTCCCAGCTCCTGCAAAGACTGTCGGCCCCAGGGACCCAGTCTAAGTAAGGCCTCATGAGCCGGAATCAACTCAGAGACAGTGGGTTTTGTTGATTATGATCCGAGTTTAGCTCAGGGAACAGAGAGACACAAGTGAGGTGGGTAAGGTGGGAGTCTGTGCCCAGAACAATACAGCAAACTTTAAGAAGAAAGGAAATGGATTTACTGAAAGTTCCCTCAAAGGAAGGAATTTGAAGAGGAAACATCCAGTGTTCTCCTGGAAAACAACCAATGACCTACCAGGTATGGAGTAAGAGTAGGAAAGCGTCCAAAGGTCAGAGCGGATCACATGCTGAAACAATTAGCAGTGGGGTCATTGCCTTTCAACTACACCCAGGAGGACAGCTTCTAGACGAGCATGTGATCACTGACCAGTACCATCAGGAGCAACACAACAGGCCAAGCCCACAGTAGACGCTGACTTATGGTCTAACTCAGTTTCTCTATCTGTAAAGTGATGTGTCTGCACCTCACAATGTTGTTGGGAGAATTACAGCTCAGTGTATGTTAGGCTAGGCACCGAGTGACCATGTGATTTCGATGGTTAGCCAGCATTGCCTTTCCACTCTTGATTAGCATAGCCACGCAAGCCTACATTTTATCGTCCTGATTTTCAGTTTAAGGCAAACATGAGTAATGTCAATAAAAACTAAAAGAGAGATAAAGTGTGTTAGAGAGGGTTCTCTACAGAAACAAAACCAAGACACTTATGGTTTTATAGATAGATACAACCCGAAGAAATAAACAGCTAATTAGCCCACAGGGCAGTACAAATGGCTCAATTCAACTCACTTCCGTGAGAGAGTTAATACACTAGCAGTCCTTCAACTCACAAGGGCAATGGGTCCAAGGTCAAGGAAGCAGACAGCTGAGTCATCCATATAGCAATGCAGGCAGTCCCGCCACAGGCAGTAAACAGCAGGGCGGGTCACCAACAGTCAGCCAGATGACGGGATCTGACAGTCCCCAGCTCAAGTGATGTATACACCAGCAGTGTGGCGCAGCAGGTCTCAAAGGGACCTCAAGTTCTAATGACACGGTCCATGGGTTGGTGACCCTCAGAGAGTACAGCTTGCAAGTGTAGGCAGAGAACTAGCTAAGGCAGCCGCACACTGGTCTAGTCACCACAGAACAGGAGCCAGAATGGCGAGGCTCGCTGAGCTGCTTATCACTTTGCCCTTCAATCAAACTGTGACCTTATTAATCCCACATGTTCTGACTGGCCAAGTTGGCATAATACACCTACCTATCACACCATCTAAATGTTAAGGACATGTCAACAGATTTGCTGCACTGAATACAATGACAGGAGACCTGATGCGCCCAGCGGTGACATCAGGAACACTATATATGAAGAAAACCAACAGTCCGTAAAGAAACAGGGAAGAAAGAAAAGATCAAAGTGGATGTCAGAAGAGACTTTTTAACTTGCTCTTCAGCATAGGGTAGCTAGGACAAATGGAAGAAACGGGGAAGTCAAAGAGCTGAGTAGAAAGTTTCAAGGTGCAGCTCAAGAGGACAAAGTAAAATTTGACCATGAAATGTGCAAAGACCTAGAGTTAGGAACCAAAGAGGAAGCGCATGCTCAACACACGTCTCTTAGACTGAACGAACCCGAGAAAAGAATGGCAAGCTTCAAGTTGCAATAGTGAGAATTCAGTGGGCAAAATATTGAGCAATGCAGGAAGCATCAAAAGAAGATAGACAAGGATCTACCTATAAGCCCCTCCAGGGGGACGGACAACAGAAAAGTGGGTGAAGAGAAACATCAGTTAGTGTAAGACTTGAAAAAATAATAATAATTTATAAATTATCAAGGGTTCATGTGGGGGGGCGGCGATGAGCTGATACCAAGGGCTCATGTAAAAATGTTTTGACAATAATGATGGCAGCAAATATACAAATGTGCTTCATACAATGGATGTATGGATTGTGATAAGAGTTGTACAAGCCCCAGTAAAATAAGTAAACAACAAAAAAGAAGATAGATAGACTAGTCAGTGTGCCAAAGGTAGCATATGAGTAAAAACCAATAGTACTGAAGGAAGAAGTCCAAGCTGCAGTGAAAACATTATCCAAAAAGAAGGCTCCAGGAATTGATAGAATACCAATTTAGATGCTTCAACAAGCTGATGAAACACTGGAAGCACTCATCCATCTATGCTAGGAAATTTGGAAGAGACTGGAAGAGATCCATATCTGGACCCGTTCCAAAGAAAGAGCTCAAATGATAGAATAATACATCAATATCACATGCAAGTAAAATTTTACTGAACCGCATCCAACAATGGTTGCAGCAGTGTGTTGACATCCCCGCCAGAGGTTCAGGCCAGACAGAAGAGAACATGGAACACAGGATATCGGCAATCCTTGCTGGTGTCAGGGGGATCTTGGCTGAGAGCAGAGAATACCAGAAAGATGTTTCCTGTGTTTCATTGACTATGTCACGGCATCCGACTCTGTGGATCATAACAAACCATGCACAGCCTTGAGAAGAATGGGAAATCAGAACACCTAACTGTGCTCTGTGGAACCTGTACATGGCTCAAGAGGCAGGTGTGCAACAGAACAAGGAACTACTGCATGGTTGAAACGTCAGCAAAGATGTGCATCAGGGTTGTTTGTATCCCGTCACCATACCTATTCAATCTGTATGCTGAGCCAATCATCAGCGGGTAACTCTGCTGCATAAGACCTCTTCTACGTGCTGAAAAGCAAGTGTGTTGCTCTGAGGACTAAGGAGTGTCTGACCCAAGACAGGGTATTTTCAATCGTCTCATATGCATGTAAAAGTTGGACATGGAATAAGGAAGAGCAAAGAAAAATCAGTGCATTTGAATGATGGTGCTCGTAAAGAATACTGAAAGCACCATGGATGGCCTAAAGAACAGACAAGTCTGTCTTGGAAGAAGTACAACCAGAATGCTCCTCGGAGGCAAGGATGGCAAGACTCATCTCATGTACTTTGGACATAGCAGGAGGGACCAGGACCCTGGAGAAGGACATCATGTATGGTGAAGTCGTGGGACATTGAAAGAGAGGAAAGTCCTTGACAAGATGGATTGGCACAGTGGCTGCCACAATGGGTTCAAATCAGAGTAATTAGGAGGAGGGCATAGGACCAGGCAGCGTGCCTTTCTGCTGTGCACAGGGTCACAGGGAATGGGAACCGGCTGGAAGGCATCTAACATCATGCCCTACATTCCTCAACAGTGAAACTCACAGAAAAGAGTCTGTAGATTAAAAGAGACAAGATATGAGAGGGGCTTTCAGGGGGTGGTGGTGGATAAGGGTAAACCATAGCGTTAGAGATTCATATTTTGGTGATAGATTTTAAAGAAATACAAGGATGTGATTACCACTCACCACAGTAGAGACTTAGGTAGGAGGAAGGGCACGGTGATTGGGATGAGAAACATGAGCAAGCATTTTTGGTGTCTGGCTAAGTTCTACTCTTTCCTTGGGTGTTGCTTCTAATGCCAGCTGCACGGCTACAATTCTTTCTGCGCCAGGAACTAGGTCAACTCTCACAAGTTAAAACAACACAGTCTGAGAACAAGGGGGCGGGGGGGAGTCAGAAGAGAGACCCAAAACCCATCTGTAGATAACAGGACATCCCCGCACAGAAGAGTCCCAAGAAAGGATGAGTCAACCAGGGCGCAGTATAGCACCGATGAAACACAAAATACTCCTCTGGTTCTTGGAGGCTTCCTCATCCCTCCTGTCATGACCCCAGTCCTGCCTTTCAGTTCTGGCTAGACCGGAGCATGTCCACTGGTACAGATAAGAGCTCATGACACACAGAATCCAGGTCAGATAAACCTCTCAGGAACAGAAATGGGAGTAGCGATACCAGAAGGGTAAGGGAAAGGTGGGGGGAGAAG